CAGATATCTGAATATCCGATTCATTCTATCAATATGAAAATATAATAAAGCTATTATTTATTAGGTATTTAAACAATTTTAGGTTAAAATATTTTTTTTTTTTTATTTAAATAAGGTTCGAAATCTTCGCCGGTAGGTTAAACAAATTATGAAAAGGATGGGATAAATAATTATTTACCTAATTATAAATGTTATATTATGTCCATAACAGTAAGTACATACATATATGCATCAGATAACTACAGAAAACTAAACATGTTTTATCAATTTTGAACCTTATTTTGTAATAATTAACGCACTGTTTGTTGTACGCAATGCCTTTAAGAACGAAATGAAGAGGATGTAAGAAAAAGAATTTCATATGATAAAGATGATGTCAAAATCTTGGAAACAATAGTGACACTAATGCTTATATCGATTTGAATATGTAAAAACGCATAAAGCTTTTTGTGAACTGAACACTGTCCGTTAAAACTCAAACTTCAAAATAAAGGACGAACGTTTCACGCCAACTCGACGGAACTCGAAACGCATCCAACAAGCCGTGACAGTTATCGCGCCACGCGCCGTCACTGCGACAGTTACGTCGCGTCACACCACTCGTTACCGTCAGATTGACGGCGGCGCATCACTAGCAGTGCCTGCCTGTGCTACTGTTTCCATTTTCGACGGAGCTCTGAGGCAGAACTGTTAAATGTTGTACAGATTAATTGAGATATGCGTGGCTTTTCATTTCGGTTATCCCCAGTTTGACTGGCCACATATGAAACTTAGCTACAATACAGAGTCATCAGACAAATCTTTTTGACGACCAACCAACTATCGGTTGTGGATATAGAACATTAGAAACTTGCTATGAGCAAATAGATTCTTGATTAACATCCAATTCTCAACTCTGATATTTTTCTGCTGGCATCTTTGTTACATTTTTGTTATAATATATAGTTATTTTTGTAATCTGGCGCCACTTTATCTACTGATTATCATTTGATATCTAGTTTTCCTTTTACTTCTAGACTAAGGTAAGGAAAACGTAATAAGTTGACTGAATGTTCTGTCAAGATATATGTTTATCAATCATGAAACATTATATCCTCTATTGCTTCTGCTTATTTGTAGATTATCTTTGTATTAGCTAACATCTCTGGTTTTGCATTTTAGAGTCATTGAGTGTCATCAGTATAAATCGTTCCATTATTATTCTTAAATTATTCGTCATCGTGACTTTGCTTCTTTAAACGTTCTCTCGTCTGTTCTATGGATCTATGAAAGTCACATAACTTGAACTCAAGTGCGTACGCCATATGGGTTATAAAACGCGGTGGTAAGACAAGAAGTCACAAAGTGCGCGTCAGGAATAAACACAGTGTAAAAAGGCACTAGTATAAATAAATACATATACCCAAGTAAACTGTCACTATGGATTTCATTCTAAGTCACACAAAGACTTAATAATTGGTATATATAAAAAGTATTATTGTTCCAATTCCACTAGGAGCAAAAACTTAGACATTAAATTCCAGTTTCATTTTCGCAATAGGCAGAGTTATTGAAAGCTTAATAAAGTTATTGTCTCCCGAAACAATTGTGAGATTATCAATATAATAAATGCTTTTATTTTTTTATTCGTATCCGATCCATTATAAACTGACTTACTATTGTGTCAAATCAATGAAAGCGATTGGATAATTACAGTAATTATAAATCATAATGTCCAGGATGCGCATGTACAGGATTTTCAGTTTGATTCACTATTGAGTCATGTTACATATGTATATACTGAGTTTAGGTGCCGAACAATGTATGTAACATTATCTAAAATTTATATTGTAAAACAGCCCAGCAGGGGTTAACAACCTAGTAAGGCTCACAACCTATTGAACTGTGAGGTTAACCTCAACAATATTTAGGGAGAAAAAAGAAGCCCTTGTTGAGTTTCTTGTCGGTTCTTTTTATTATTTTTTTATTCAGTCTAGGCTGTTACAAGCACTTGTGAAAGTCGAGAGCTACGCCATCGGTTCGTAAATCTACGGAGGGAGACCTTGTACCGAGAAGAACCGGCAAGAAACTCGGCAAGGGCTGCTTTTTTCTCCCTGTTTTATTTCATACAGAGCGTCAAGATTGAAAAATGACTTCATTAAAATTTGAAGTCACTTTCCATTCTTCTCAGTACAAGCCGTAGTTTTGCGAACCGATGACGTAGTTTTCGACTTTCACAAGTTCTCTGTAAAAGCCTAAACTGAATAAACAATTTTGATTATGATTTTTTTGATTTTTATATTAAAATAATGCGAATGAAACATTGATAAAGTTATGACACACAGAAATAACCCTACAAGACTATAACAAGATGAGATTTCTATGTACTCATTGGAAATACTACATAATTAGGATTATATACCTATTACCTTTCATGGACAATCAACAAATATGTATATCTCTGATTAAAAATGTAACGCTGTTGAAAAGATAGAAAAGCTTGCGGTGGTCCTCAGTTTGTCTTTATTTGCATGCATATTATAAAGATAGTATGATCTTTAGAATCAAAGGAACTTCAATATCATAAGTTATTTGAAGTTATGAAATGATATGTGAATTATTATCAGACGGATAGGATACCGCGATCTTCTCTCCCTTTCTAATTGAGTAATATCCCGAGGCTTACGCACTCTTCTTTAAAAGCTTATTTAATTAATTAATTCTTTAACTTATATTGAAAGACAAATCAAGACAAGGAGGCAAAAAAAAAAAGATTAAGCTTTACATCTTAAGTACAAAGGCAAGTTCCACAGGTTAAAACCTTTTTCAGAAATGGAACGCTTTAAAAGGTCAAATATAAAGTTGTCAGACAAAGTGACCCATCTTCAAAGTGACTGTGTGACGTAGAAAAGTTAATTGTTCCATAAATGGTAATGACATTTTCACGCACCAACTCGCAGTGGAAACTACGCGATCCCCTTAAAACTTTGAGTGACACGAGTTATAAACTGTCTCGGAACTAAATAAATAAATCTGCGAGCGTTGTATGTAGTCGGTGACATCGCTCGGAAAGTTTTGAGCCGCTATGTCGCGTTACCTATGTCGCGTGTATTAAGGACTTACAGATATATTTGCCAGGCGTTTGGATAAAAGTTTAATGTATTGTGATTTATCGCTGAACTAGTACATATAGCAACCAGCAATAATGTTTCAACATCGCACGCATCTTCATTCTACACTTTGATTTCCACACTTTGATCTCCCATAAACTTTTGCGGTTATAATCTCGATCGTATAATAGTATTGTTGTGGTTTCACTTTGCAAATAATAAATCAATCAGTTTTTCAATGATACTTAATATATTAACTAATAATTAATTTGTAAATTACAGAAAACTATTGAGGATCGGCTATTTTTCAAGATAGTGTCACAAAGAGTATTTACCTCATAGTAAAAATAAAACAAGTAAACTTCTTCTTCTTTTATAAAAAGGATGGTGTTGCGAACCAAAGAGTAAGTATATACATATAATCTATAAGTTTCAGGTTCAGCTACCATCCTTTAAAATAGATATAAATCCTGAATGGTTAGTGCGATAGTTTCTGATTTTGTTGCAGCCAGACTACTGATTAGATTTTTAAGTTAATCTTAATGTGTTGGTATGATTTTTTGGTATATATATATATTTTTTTTCAATTCAGAACTATGAGCAAATGGATTCTTGATCTTGATCCATTTGCACGTGAGCTCTAACGCAAGTTTGCCAGCGAGGAGGAGCAAATAGGTTAATAGAATGCATGTATAATAGAAAGTTAAATACGTCTCCACAGGATATAAAGAGTGAAGCCAGTCTTTTATTGACTAACAAACCATGTTTAAAAGTACCGCAGTCCTAGATATCCACAAGTTTCATCAGCTACACCACGAACACAATGCCACGTAAACTTTTATGTGCACACATGCAGCAGAACTAAGTTACTCATATCAAAGGCAATTATACCAAATGTTGTTTTCTATACTGCCTAACCAGGAATCGATGAAACGTTAGAGGTAGGAATGTTCTAAAATTAGCCTGTTAGAGTATATTAACTGAACTAATAATAGCAATAGTCTCTTCGAAGATATAAAGCGGTTCTTATCGGAGCAATTGGCAAAGGGTATCGAGCTATGAGACGAAATTTTACAACTAACATAGACAAAACACTTAGCTATATAAACTCTATTATTAATTAGTTACACGATTAAATTAAACATGGAGCACGATATTGGATTTTTTGGCCATTATTGTTCTAATATGTTTTGGAAACGAAACAATTATAAGATGAGAACGAAAAATATAAGTTATAGACACCTAATGTGCCGCAATATGAACATAGTTACTATACTGTATTATTAAATAAAGTTGCTACTGTTTTGATATTCGTTAAAACTGTTTGGATGTTATCAAAGTTTTGTTATTCACTTGTTCTATCATATTGTTACGCTCAAGTAGTTGCATTCGCGTAGGTAAACCTGAGAAGTATAATATTTTCGTGGCCCTTTCTGTTGTGAATATTTTCTAATTAAACCAACTCTTGTTTCACTTCGCAAAAAGTAATTAATGTTTGTCGCTAGCAAACTTGCGAGCGCGTGTGAAGTTACTTTGAACTTGAGACGTAAGTGCTGGGGTTTCTAACAAAATCGATTGTGAGTGATCTTGTGACGTTTTAATTGAAGAACTTGCGGAATTTCCTTTTGCTTAGGGAAGTAATTTTAGGTTAGAAAGGAAGCGAGGGGAATTGCAAAGCTAGTAGTTCCGTCGGGGACCATGAAAATCGAATGAATTTCTTAAGACGTTGGAATGATTGACCTGGAATTAAATTATTTTGATTGCCTTGTTCTCTTTTCAGTGCTGTAGTATTTATATTTTTATAATGAGCCAACCGTTTGACGAAATAGAACTAAAGGTACTTCTTAAAGACTTACAAGAAGTCTTTTGTCTCAAACGATTAATATACAGGGTAAAAATAAATAAACTTACTTGGAAACTGTCGTGTATCTCATTGCTTTCGGATTCCCGTTTTGACTTTCGACTTCTTTGATTTCTTCTTTGGAAACTGCAACAATAAAAAAAATATTATAACATAAATTAACATTATCTATTTGAACTCCCAAAATAAGTAACTGACGTCCAGCAAGCTGTTTTAAAACAAAATGCATCATTGTGGGATAAAATTTTCTAAATCGAAAACGATAAAAAAAAATATTTCACAATTTATTCCATTAAACATTGTATTTACTTTCACAATAATAGTATAAGTAATTAATATGAACAGTTCACTATGCTCTGTCCTTAAGTATGTCATTGCCGGGCAAAATGTGATGGTCTGGGACATATTTTTGGCTTAACGCCTCTTCTTAAATTATACCTCATCTTTATACTCTTTAGTATCTAAACCGTAATTATTCAAAGCTAGCCTTAATTCAAAATTAAGATAACACGTGCCACTACTCATGTATTTTTAAGCGAGCTCATATAAACAGAGGAGAATTCTAATTCATACATATATTATAATGTTATAAAACATCACACGTAGGTAAGAGGTTATTTGCATAGTTGAACTATTAAGTTGAGCATAACATATTCGCGTAGCGCACTCTTGGGCGTGTTTCGCTTAAATTCCTGCGATTCACGCTTGACGATACGGCCCCTTTGAGGGCGGGGCGCTTGTGAAGTTTAACGGTAGAAGTCGTTTTATACGGTACAAGTTTAAATTTATTAAATTCACGAGTCGAACTACCCACAGATCCTTTTGTTTGGGTTACTTCTCCTTAATCTGTTGTGACTGAGAATTATGAAACGACCGTTTGTCCTATTTTGGGATTTGTAGTGTAATTATTTTATAAAAGGTAGTTTTACTTTTCTTAAATGGCAACACTTCTCGATCCCGTCACTCTTTTCTGACAACTTCCAGTGAAAAGATGGAGAGTGGTAGGGTTGAAATAGTCAGTCGTTGGCTAACCATCGAGGTGTTGAATCGTTAAATAGTCTATTTGGCTCATAAAAGTGTTAAAAGTGGAATAAAAGTACTGTGCTGTGAATTGGAGTTTCTTATGATAGTAGTTTATTTAGTTGGTTTAGATGATTGAAAAGTGGTTTACAGTTTAGTGATTACTAGCTTTCCGCCAGCGGCTTCGCCGGCGGCTTCGCCGGCGGCTTCGCCGGCGGCTTCGCCAGCGGCTTCGCCCGCGTCATCTCTAGGGAACTGTTTGTTTGGATATCGAGCGATATCATGACATGGACATAATTAAAATGACAAATTGAATAACCAATAGTGATCACCATGGTGACTTTTTAATTCCCCATACAAATTTCCACTCCTGTTTTCAACCTAGTAAATAAATGCTATTTTTCGAAATAAAATATAGACTATGTTCACCGCATATGATGTAGCTTCGCGTACAAGATTTTTTTTTTTAAATTGGTTCAGTAGTTTCAGAGCCTATTCGATGCAAACCAAGAAACAAACAAACAACCAAATCTTTCCTCTTTATAATGTTAGTATAGATATAGATATCTCACGGCATGAGTAGGGACTCTTTGATTTGAATATAGCCAAAAGCTTTAACGAATGAAACAGTTTCACTCCTATGAAGCATTCTAAACCACTCAAAACAAATATGCTGGAACATTTTTAAAATGCATACCGAATTCATGTTTTCATTTTCCTAAAGTGAAATTCTCTTTTAAATTTAGTCCCAGGGGAGTGTTAACATACAAATGTTTTTATAATAATGCTAGCGTCCGATACAAACAAGCGCGAGAAAGATAATATTTCGAGCACATTTATTATTGCGAAATTGAGCATAATATTATTTTATTTCATTAATAATTTAAAAGCCTATTTAAATATCTTTGATTGTTAATTACTTGTATGCCTTACAAAGACAGTAAGATTTTATTTTCATGTTTATAATTTATGAACTCATTGATATTTACAAAAATAAATTCTGAAATAATTATAGTGTAAAAAATAGCTATAATTTAATATAATTGTAATATAATTGAACGATACTATGTAAATATAATAATGTGTAAATACACCTTTCTTGAATCACCCTGTATATTCTTAATGAAAAACGAGTAAACAATCTTATATATTTCCCAGTATAGCATTGTTAATGCAAAATTGATCAAATATAACACTCTGTATATTGACGAGAAAAACACATTAAAATCCATTGTGAAATTTTAAAGATCTCAGCGAACAGACAGCAAGAAGTGACTATGTTTTTTCTATGTATAGAAGGTGTTTCAGTTTATTTCCTACAATTTTATAATGTCACATATTGACAACAATGCCATTGCCAATATAATAGTTTGCAACGCAACTTGAATTAGCACGTCGGAATGAATGCCTTAATAGTCCATTTGCAAAATTTGCTAGTTCATGCATTGATGGATCATTGTTAAACAACCTTATCGCAGTTCCCATTGCGATTCATTGATGCTTCAAAAGCCGACATCAGTTAAATTGGATATTATTTTCTACTCGATCAACTTAAATTTGATGTATGAATTGATTTGGTGAACAATTGTTTCTTTGGTAGATTAATACAATTGTTTTAAAGTCAAGTTTTGTTTCCAGGTTCGTTTGTACCACATTATTTCCGTAACTATGGCTTATATCAAATTATTCATCATCAACAGCCCTTTTACGTCCCCACTGCAGGGGCTCAGGCCTTCCTTATGGATGGTTACGGAGGATGGGCCATGACCCTCCACGCTGGCCCAAAGCGGATTGGAGGGTAATATCAAATCAAATTATTGATTGGACACAAAGGAAGTCTTTTACAAATCAATGGCAAATATACGATTTGAGGACTTCGGAGAATACAGATAAATATAAAAAAAATTAAATGCTGCTCCACTTTAATCATGCCTCTCTGGCATATTATTGGTTATAATTGGATTTTGCAAGATGAATAACAAGTTATGTTTTGTATTAATTATATCCTGTTCTGTATCTTAAATAATAAAAATATAAAATAGCAAATTTACAAGAAACACGCAAAACTTTAACAAATCAATTGAAGCTGATTGTAGGATAAAAAATAAGTAGATTGTTAAAAAATATACTTTATTCAAATATCTAACGACCTATGTCTCCTAGGAGCTCAAAGTATAGATATCGTCAAGCTTCCTACGTGCAGAGCTTTAGATGCAAAGTTATATATGAGTTCATGTTTAGCTAGAAGTTAAGATCTAATAATATGACCAATGAAAAGGTTCTTTTCATACAATGTATCATTTTCACTTTAAATAGTGACAGTGTCAATCTACTAAATACACAAATAGCAGAATCAAACCCATTCCCGTATTTGATATGCAAACCAAATGAAGTAAGTGTAATCATAATGAAATAAAAACTGAAATGAATTCTAAATTATTCTCTAAATGTTCAGTCTTGCTTCAGAGATGATGTTTCACTATATAAAAATAAAATACTTTCTTCTTTTCCATATTATTTTGAATAAATAGAAAACTGCTGAGAAAAACCTCGATGCCCTGTGAACTCAATTATGGGAACTAAGTCTGCTTGTGACGTGTGAAAGGATTTAATAACTTCAAATTTCTGAACCCGGAGGGAGAGCTTAAACCGATTCCAGGGGCTCCTTTAATTGGTTGTCCCGCCTCCACAGTAATGATGATTGGATTTGTTCCAAACGTTTTTGGATGAGATTGAAAATTTTACTAATAAACGTAAAATGTGTTTATTAATTGAGAAACTCGATGGCGGGAAAGTGCTCGATAGCGCAGTGTTTGCGGTTGTGGATTTTATGTGACATCCGAGGAGATTGGACATGGAGTCACCATCATTATCTGATGATAAACATTATGATGATGGTGATGATAAATATTATTCAAAATCCGGCAAGCCATTCAATTTTATGGCTAAATAAAGAAATAGCATATTTTTTGAGATATCTACAAAATAACCAAAGCAATGAATATTCATAATATCATTGATAACAGTAACGTGAACAGAGCGACATCATTATCATAATACCGTAGAAAATAAAGATCTGGAAATCTTAAAAATGTTACCCATATCAAAGCTTTTACGTATGCTATTTTTCGGATATAAAAAATATATATACATTTCTTTAAAAGCTAATGTTTCTATATAAAGTAATATTGACCTTTACAAAGACGGATTTTGAAATGTTCTGGAACAAAGTTAGGGAAACGTAAATGGCTATGAATAGGAGTTTTTAGAAAACAGGCATTCAGAAACATTTCAAAGCGTTTGCAGTATATTTGCGTGGAAATTCATTGATATATTTGATATGGCTCTCTCGGAAACTAAGCACGGGTATAAATCGTTATGTTTCACATTACCTTTAGTAAAGAAGGAGAATATGGATGAGTATAAACTACAATCTAAACATTAAATCGACGAATATTTTTTGAAATAATGTTGACCAAAATTATACCAATAACTACTTAAAAATTCAGTGATACTGAATTCCTTGGTGAAATACAATCGAAACATAGTAAAATTGTATACAGCACCGAAATGAAAAAGTAATTGGAAATTTATGACGGGAACAAGATTATAGCTGACATAATAAACGTTATCCTGCGAAAATGTGAAAATTATTTCATTTTTCAGCGCTTCTGTAAATCAATCAAAATTTTCGTAAGCTTTATTTGCTCATAAATATTTCCTACTAATTCTATTTCGTAAGAAAATATATCGTTTGAATTTTTGTTGTTTTCGTAGTAAAATTACTCGACAGAAATATTATACAAATGATGGAAACGTTTGTTTGATTTTTCTATAATCAACAGGGAGTCAGAAAACTTTTTATCCGTTATATCAAAAAAAGCGATCTAGTTGGATAACAAAAACGTTCAAAACTATGAAGATCACAACCAAAGGCAGAAGGCGACCAGACTGCGGATGTTTAACTACCAAATATTATTAAATATACCTATCTAAAATTGCATTGACACAAAATATAAAAAAAAACTTGGCGTTAAATTATTTTCTGGACCCTGATCAAATGGGTTCAATCGGTATCGGGACTCTTACTAATTTACTTGCCGACC